TCTCATGAATCTCATTACCAGCCTACAATAACAGGCAAACACTGCTCGTCATGTGCTATCAACCAGAGAGTATTCTATTGCTTGGTATCAATCAGATGAATGAATCTCATGAATCTCATTACCAGCCTACAATAACAGGCAAACACTGCCCGTCGTGTGCTATCTTGGTATCAATCAGCTAAAGGAATCTCATGAATCTCTTTACCAGCCTACAATAATGACAGGAAAAGACTGCCCGTCGTGTACTATCAACCAGAGAGTATTCTATTGCTTGGTGTCAATCAGGTGAATGAATCTTATGAATCTCATTACCAGCCTACAATGACAGGCAAACACTGCCCGTAATGTGCTATCAGCCAGAGAGTATTCTATTAATTTGAACTGTCTTAAAGTGTAGTGTATGTATCAAGTATATAGCCATATAGAATACAAGTASAAGTACATTATAAAACGTACACGTTAAGCTACACTATGACGTATAACATTCCTCTTCGTCGAAGTGTGACACTACAACTGCAGAGTTAGTAATATGCTCACACTAGCGTCGAAATCGGAATCGAAATCGTAATGACCGTTTTCTCAAGGTTGCGTGCGCATTCCAGAACAAGAGCTTTATAATGAGAACTATCATACATTCTTATGAAATTTTGTTTTGATAAGAATTCAAGAATTCATAAATTGATTATTCTCCTCTTTAAGTAAAACTAGCTTCTCGATTTTACTGAATTTGCGTTTTTCAAATTTGTGGCCCGTTGAATGCGCACGCAATCTTTAGAAAACGGTCTGTTGCAAGAAGCTTATACGATCTAGTGCAAATTAATTAAAATAACGCATGCAGAATCATAAGCCTTGCTTCGGCACTCGCTCTAGGCTTTCTTTGTTGTTTTTCAAGGATAGAGGCCGATGGGTTGCAAGCATTCCCAAGAAAGTCAAAAGACAAAAGCATGGCGGTCGTTGTGGTGCCCTTAACAATGGATGCTAGTTTAAAAAATTTTTGTTAAATTGCACCAACGCTCCCCCCGAGATGCTTCGACGAAGTAACGTGCAATTGAAGAATACAAGGTTCGGGTCTAAGTCACATAATGTATATCAATT